TAATTTCATTCTTCTGCATATGGTTTTACAATTTTCCCAATATCATTTGTTGAAGAGACTGTCCTTTATCCAATGTATATTCCTGGCACCTTTGTCAAAAATCAGTTGTCTGTAAATATGTAGTTTGTTTCTGGATTCTCTATTCTCTTCCATTGGTCTATATGTCTGTTTTTATACCAATACCATGCTATTTTGGTTACCATAGCTTTGTAGTATGTTTTGAAGTCAGGTAGTGTGATGCTTCCACCTTTGTTCTTTTTATTCAGTATTGCTTTGGCTATTCAGGCTTTTTGTGCGTCCACATAAATTTTAGGATTGTTTTTCTATTTACATAAAGAATGTCATTGGCATTTTGACAGGTATTGCATTGACTGTATAGATTGCTTTGGGTAGTGTGGTCATTTTAACAATATTAATTAATCCATTAGCATGGGATGTCTTTCCATTTGTTTGTGTTCTCTTCAATGTCTTTTGTCAGTGTTTTGTAGTTTTCCTTGGGGAGTTCTTTCTCCTCCTTCATTAAATTTATTACTAGGTATTTCATGTTTTTTTGGTAGCTATTGTAAATGGGATTGCTTTCTTGATTTCTTTTTCAGCTAGTTCATTATTGGTGTATAGAAACTATTTGTTTTTGTATATTGATTTTGTATACTGAAACTTTACTGAATTTGTTTATTAGTTCTAACAGTTTTTATGATGGAGTCTGGGTTTTTCTCTATAAGAGATCATGTCCTTTACATAGAAGGACAATTTGACTTCCTTTATTTCCAATTTGAGGGCCTTTTGTTTATTTCTCTTGTCTGACTGCTCTGGCTAGGACTTTCAGCACTATGTTGAATAAGAGTCGTGTAAGTGGGCATCCATGTCTTGTTCCAATTCCTAGATGAAAGGCTATCTGTCATCTTTTCCCCATTTAGTATGATGTTAGCTGTAGGTTTGTCATAAATAGTCTTTATTAAGTTCAGGTATGTTCCTTCTGTGCCTAATTTGTTGAAAGTTTTTATCACCAAGGGATAACTGTAAGTCCGATCAAATCTCTTTCTTTTGTAAATTGCTCAGTGTTGGGTATGTCTTTATCAGTAGCATGAAAATGGACAAATACATGGCCCTTATGGGAATTTGCAGCCCCAATTCATTTCACCTGGGCTGTTCACAAAATTTCAATTTATGAATTCAGGACATAGCACTATCAATAAAGTACTCTTCTGGAAAGACCTGCTCCTGACTCTAAATACCTACTCAAGACTCTGATGTACAAATTTACAGGAAATACAGGGGATAAAGAACATAGTAAGTGATGCCTTTCTGTACACAACCAAATTCAGAAAGATATTCTACAGGAAAAGTGATCCAAATTCTTCAACAAATTAATGGCACAAAAAATTGGGGTAGGAGAAAAGGAACTGTCTAAAATTACAAAAGACTCATAATATATTAAACACATATAAACTAAAGGTAATATAGACCTTGGTTGAATTCTGATTAGTATAAAACTAGGCTTATTAGATGACATCTAATAGATGATATCTAGGCTGGGTATTATTAGATGATATCAAGGAATTACTGTTTAATTTGTTAGGTGTGATAATGGCATTGTGGATTTTAAAACAAGTTATCAGCTGGGAGCAGTAGCTCACGCCTGTAATCCCAGCACTTTGGGAGACCGAGCGAGCAGATCACGAGGTCAAGAGATTGAGACCATCCTGGCTGACATGGTGAAACCTCATCTCTACTAAAAATACAAAAATTATCTGGGCGTGGTAGTGTGCGCCTGTAGTCCCAGCTACTCAGGAGGCTGAGGCAGGAGAATCGCTTGAACTTGGGAGGTGGAGTTTGCAGTGAGCTGAGATCATGCCACTGCACTCCAGCCTGGTGACAGAGTCAGACTCCCTCTCAAAAAAACAACAACAGCAACACCACCACCACCACCACCACCACCACCACCACCAACAACAACAAAAAAACCCAAAAAACAAAAAAAAGGAAAAAACAGAAACAAGTTCTCTGTTAGAGATACACACTGAAGAATTATCTTTCTTGTCTTGTAGCTATCAACTGTCAAACCATTAAGACAATAAGAATCAGTCTGATCAGGATTAAGATTGACTGAGAGAAGATTGCAGAGACTTAGACTTTAAGCTGGGTGCAGTAGCTGCTTGAGATTTTGGGATTGCCTTACTTAGAGGTCTAATGAATGCCTTTAATGTACAAGCCTGCATGGGAAGAAGGGTATGCATGGATATTAATCAGCTTAAGGATCAGCTGTCACCACCTATGTTTCTTGGTGAACTAAACACATTTTTAACCCAACACACATTTCTTTTTTTCTTTTTCTTTTTTTTTTTTTTTGAGACAGAGTTTCACTCTTATCACCCAGGCTGGAGTTAAATGGCGCCATCTCAGCTCACTGTAACCTCTACCTCCTGGGTTCAAGCAATTCTCCTGCCTCAGCCACCCCAGTAGCTGGGATTACAGGCATGAGCCACCACGCCTGGCTAATTTTGTATTTTTAGTGGAGACAGGGTTTCGCCATGTTGGCCAGGCTCCTGACCTCAGGTGACCCACCTGCCTTGATGTCCCAAAGTGCTTGGATGAGCCACCGTGCCCTGCCCCAACACACATTTCTAACCCTCTCCTTGACAATTGCCATCATAGAGCCTGGAGACCTAAGTACTGGATTGGCTTTCCCAGTTTTCTTTATACCAAGGGGCAGCCATGTGAGATATAAATGAAAATCTTTTTGCAGAGAGGCCTCTAGGAAAACTCTTTCATAAAATAAACAAATGATGTTGGTGGCCCTCCTTTTTCCTTTCTTGAATTTGGATATGATTTCTGGAGCTGTAACAGCTCTTGCAACCATGAGGAAAATCCTCTAAACTAATGTGAGCAACTACCTACCCCCACTCTTCTTTAGAGCAATAAAAAATAAAATTTATGTTTAATTAAGCCACTGTTGGTTGAATTATTCCGTTATTTGCAGAAGAAAGTATTCCTAACCTATATATCACAGCAAAATGCTGGCAATTCCTATCTTATAAACTTTCATGAGGATTGAATAAATAAAATGCCTAACACTTGCCTAGGCAATTTACACATTGCTCTGTCCACCCTACTTCCTAGATCAATTTAGCTACATATTGGGAGAAAGTTATAGTTTGATTATACCTTTTTATTAAAGCAGAGCTGAGAACCATATACAGTATTTTAATTTGCAAAGGTGTCAGTTTTATGTAAGGTTAGGATAACATATTTCTAGTTTGTTCCATACTCTCATTCGTCATGCTCAATATTTTTGTTGACTTCTTTGGCCAGAAGAGTTTACTGCTCCAGCATCTTCCTGGAAGAATCCACAATTGGGCTAAATCTATTTTAACCATTTCCCTCTAGATTTTTAAATTGTACTTGCCTACACAGACATTCACCTGACACTTTTCTGTAAGCTTGAAGAGCCTGGCATTTTCTCCTATTTTTCTTTGTTAGTTTAGTTGCTGCCTAAAAGCAAGACTAGGCTCTCATAGAGGTAGAATGGGGCCAGGTGCAGTGGTTCACGCCTGTAATCTCAGCACTTTGGGAGGCTGAGAGGGTGAATCATGAGGTCAGGAGATCGAGACCAGCCTGGCCAACATGGTGAAACCCCGTCTCTACAAAAAATACAATATATAAACACACACACACACATATATATACATATATACACATATGTGTATATATGTGTGTGTATATATACATATATTGTGTGTGTGTGTGTGTATGTATATATAGCTGGGCGTGGTGGCTCATGCCTGTAATCCCAGGTACTCAGGGGGCTGAGGCAGGAGAACTGCTTGAACCTAGGAGGCAGAGTCTGCAGTGAGTCGAGATTCAGCCACTGCACTCCAGCCTTGGGGAAAGAGTAAGACCCCATCCGGGGGGTGTCGGGGGGAAGAGGTATAATGGACAGCAGCAAACCACAGGTGTGATAGGAGAGAATACTAAGTTGAGATCAGTCTCCTAAAATACGAATCCGATTTCAGGATCATTCATTTATCCGACTGTCAAGAACGCCTCTGAACAGGAGGAGGACTTTGGGGAGAGGGTGGGGTTTGTTGAAAGGGCACTGAGAAGGGAGGGGGGTGGTACCCAAACAATTTGTTTACATAATTTTTTTGGACCTGAAATATGTAGAAAAGTACTTTGAAAATAAAGTACTGTATCGAAATTTAATTATTTTTCTTATTGTTTGCATATTCTCCCTCCCAGATAATTTACAGAGGGCGCTAAAGCTGATCCCCTGGGAGCTTCAGAGTTTAATGACTCCGCCTGACGATTTCCTATTCTTTTCCACAATGTGCTAAGTCAAATTATGGCCAAATTACCAATCGCATGGTGATTCAGCTTCTAAATATGTTTTGCAGTGTTTCCAAAAGTTAAAAAAAAAAAACAAAAAACAAATCTTTACCTAAATTGTTTTTACTTACTTCACCTTAAATCAGTTATTCGGTTCCTTTCAAGAACGTGTTGCTTTAGCAACCCCCAAAGTGAACCCAGATACCCAGGACTACTGATTGTTACATCAGAGTTTTTGAAAATGCCAATACTAGAAACAGGCCGACAGTTAAGGAGAGGCGGGCCTCAAACTAAAGCAGAACCTTCTTAAAACCACTTATATTTTCAAGAGATGGATTAAGCGAAAAGAGCTGTACAAAGAAATAAGCTATTTTCTATGCGCCTGTTATTGGCAAGGCACTGCACTCCCTTGTCACTTGTTAATGTACAAGAAGACTTGCCGGTTCAGGGAAAGGGAGAGGGGATCGAGGCAAGGTTCATGGAGGGCGGCAAACTGCACTACACGTGGCGCGGGGCTGAGCTTGCGGAGACCGGGGTTCTGGTGCCTGGCGCCAGCTGCTAGGTAGGGGCGTGCGTCCTGCGCAGTTGCCGCGCGCGGCCTCCTTGGGCTTCAGGCCGGGCCAATCAGGAGGCGGGCGGACGGGGCGCAGCGCCGGGAGGGGGCGGGGCCGGGGCCGGCTTCGCGGTCGGCAGGCCAGGAGGGAGGGCGCCTTTGGCTTCCCCACCCGCCATGGAGCGGCTGACGTTGCCTCCCCGCGGCGCGGCGGCAGTGGACGAGTACCTGGAGTATCGGAGGTGAGGCCGTGGCTCCGGACCGGCCCCTTGCCGCTCCGAGGGGCCACGATCCCTGGGCTGAGGGCGCGGGCAGGGGCCCGGCGGGTGTCCGCGGGGGTTCCCTGAATCTTTGCCTGCGTTGTTGGGGGAGGCCTAGATGTTTCGTCTTTGCCTAATTAAATATTGTAGGGCCACGCAGTTCTATGCAATGATGAGTCTTCCGATGTCATTTAAGAGGTCCCTCTGCTCCCTTCCAAGAAGGATGGCTAACTCTAGTTGATACAGAGGTCCAACCGTTTTTTAAATGGCCATTGAAAACATTCACATCGAGTACTAGAGGCTATAGAAGTTAGCATGCATCAAATTAACCCAGTAATAGGGTCAACCGTGAACTTCTGAACGCGCTCCCCACCCCGAGGTGCTGGTTTTAAGAGAAAGGCACCGACTGGTGTTTTGGTGTTCTGGAGAAACCCCTTCCGAAACTGGAAACGTAGCCGCTCCTTTGGCCTGAGGACCTGGCTCATTGTCCTGGGTCCTGACCGAGGCTGGTGCACCTGCAGCGACGCGCTTTTTTCCGCTTCCTGGGGGTTTTGATCGTCCGGAATCTGGGCGGATGGGAAGTCCTGGAGAGGGCCGCCAGAGGACGCGGAGTTGGGGCGGGAGGATGTGTGTGTACAAGCAGAGGGGAGACGCTCCAGGCTCGGCCAGGGAGGCCGGAGCGAGCGACAGGGCCTCCTCTGCGGCATCGTGGGCGACCCAGATGACCCAGAGGTGTGCGCGCAGACGGCCCCCCAGCTGACTGCTCTCCCGCGCTCCGACTGCCCCGTTGGTGTAGTTTTGGGTAACCCTTAGAACTGCCTGGAGATTCTGAGCCAGAAGAACAAGGGCTAGGAGCTTGATGGGGTCAGTTCCCACGCCGGGTTCAGGGTCAGAACAATCACCATCCAGTCCTCCCGCAGAGCAGAGCCGGCTCCTTGAGCCTCCAGTTCTCCAGAGCTTTTGCCTGGGAGCAAGTTACTGGAGCTGGTGTTGACTGATAACTTGGATATTTAGATATGTGAATTGTGGGCCTCCAGTTGATTCTTGCCTAGCTCCGAACATGTTAGGGCAGACCTGGTGGGAAATTATGTATTTATTTATTTTATTGAGACAGGGTCTGACTCTTGCCCAGGCTGGAGTGCAGTGGCGCGATCTCGGCTCACCGCAATCTCCACCTCCTGGGTTCAAGTGATTCTCCTGCCTCAGCCTCCCGAGTAGCTAGGACTACAGGCGCCCAGCTAATTTTTGTATTTTCTGTAGAGACGGGATTTCACCATGTTGCCCAGGCTGGTCTTGAACTCCTGGGCTCCGCCCGCCTTGGCCTCCTAAAGTGTTGGGATTACAGGCCTGAGCCACCGTGCCCAGCTGGGAAATTATTTTTGCAATCATAAATAACTTGAAACACTTCCCTCTGAAAGAGATTATCAGGTCCTTTACTGACGTCAGGATTTTAGAAAAGTGGGGAAAACAGGACTTGAGTGCCTAGATGTGAAAAGGTGGGCCGGGAAGGTGGGGTGGGAAGATGAGTCAAAATATGAGTTTAGAAGGAAACAAACTTTCCTTCCTAAGAGTTTTCCTGGATTTGGTCTTGTCTAGGTACTTTGGTGGGAGTCAGTTAGGAGGGGAAGCATGCAGCCTTGTTACTCACACTGTGGGAGTAACATATATATACATATATATTTATACATTTATATACAGGTATATAAATATACACATATATATATTTTTTAGATAGAGTCTTGCTCTGCTGCCCAGTCGAGTGCAGTGGCGCTACCTCAGCTCACTGTAACCTCTGCCTCCGTGGTTCAAGCAATTCTCAGTGCCTCAGTTTCCAGAGTAGTTGGGATTATAGGCGCCCACCACCACGCCCGGCTAATTTTTTTATTATTGGTAGAGACGGGGTTTTGCTATATTGGCCAGACTGGTCTCGAACTCCTGACCTCAAGTGATCCGCCTGCTTCAGCCTCCCAAAGTGCTGGGATTACAGGTGTGAGCCACTGTGCTGTGAGTTTTAATCTGCATTTGAACAAGATCCCCTGGGGATTCTGTAAGTACAATAAAATTTGAGTTGCACTGGTTTAGTACTTAAATACCAATGACATCTTACTTTTAAAAGATCTTTTAAAGATCCGTATTTATCTTAAGATCTTAATACCTGTTGGTATTCTTGATAGCTACCAGAAAGTGAAATGGCCCAAAATTTAACTCAGAAATAAATGCCCTTTGTTTCTTTGCTATTATGTATCTAGATTGTCTGTGTAAAGAAGACGGTTTTGATTATTTCATAGCTTATACGTTGGTTTTTCTTTTTTTCTTTTTTTTTAATGGCAAGCGCATAGAGCAATGGTTTTTATTTTCTACCTCAGCTAAAGGCTTCAAAGTATGGAAAAAAGCATGTATTGCACAAAAAAGCATGTAGCATTCTACAAATATCACTTTTTGTGACTTTTCAAGGGGAGTATTTTCAGGGAGAAATGTCTTCAGTTTTGGAAAAACTTCTTTTAGGTGTGCTTTCTTTTCCTCCAGGGAGGCCAACTCTTAATTTCGTTTCATAGAAATAGTAGGGGCTTAATGTTTTCCCATAAAATTTTGGGTTTGTTCTTCTGAAATTAAACAATGATAAACCTGATTACCTAACACACAAATGTGGTTTGAGCTTGTGCTGAACCAAGTGTGTATTTAGGTTCCACATTAGTTTAAACCCCTGGCCAGGGTTTGGAGACAGGTATGGAAATTAGTCATATTGGCTTCTGCTTTGATATTTTTTGTACTTTTTTGGGATACATTTTCAAAGGAGGAAAATGTTAGAATTTTTAGCAGTTAAGGCTCTACCTTTAATGAGAAGAATGAGAATCTTTGCTTCAGTATCAAAGGAAAAACTGAGATGAATATGTGGTAATCCTCTGTTGATAAACCTGGATCAGTAAAGTTGCGTTATGAATTCATTGTTTTTCCTATTAATAACCCTCTTGTATAGGAAGTTAAGGGAGAAAAGATTTCTTTTCTCACCCATCACTAGGTTCATGGCTGAGGCACGTATGGTTCTGGATCAAACCGAGGGTTGGGCTGCTTATTCTCGTGGCCCAATAATGCGATTCAGACGAACTGGGAAAGAAGGGAGATTATTTCTGTAACTGGTTATAGGGAGAAGGCCTGGAAGATATTGGCAGACCAACTCAAAATTACAAAGTTTTCCAGAGCTTATATACCTTTTAAGCTATATGTTTATGTGTAAGTGTGCATTTATCTAAAGACATAAATGATTAACTTCTAATCTATAACTAAGATCTGAGTCCTGAAGACCTTCTTCTGGAGCCTCAGTAATTTACTTAATCTAAATGGGTCCAGGTGCTCGGGTGACTACTCTTGTCTTGTCTTGTGCTAAATCATGGAGGTTTGGGGAGTTCCTTCAGACCCCCCAATAAACTTGTTTGTGGAGGTCTGGGGAGTTTCTTCAGACCCCCAATAAAACTTGTTTAGTCCTAAATGGGTCCTTTAAGAATTCCTTCGTTATCTTGTCATGCTGCAAGGCCCAGGAAAGGCCTGGGCAAAACTCTTTGTGGGCTGTTGTTACTTTCTAACCTTTGTATAAGGACACTGGTTCTATCAGCTTTTAGTATTTAACTTCACCACTCAGTCAGTGCAGTAACAGGTGTTATGGAGACCTGGCCTGCCACATCTGTCAGAAAAGACAGATTTATAAAATAAAAGCTTACAAATTTATTTAATATTTGCAGTGGCCTGGTCATAGCTCACCCGGAAAATAAATACTCAAAGTTTAAGAGAAATATATATTTTTATTGTAGAATTGTTGGTGAGGATGATGGAGGGAAACTTTTTACTCCTGAAGAATATGAAGAATACAAAAGAAAAGTTTTACCTCTGCGCTTACAAAACAGATTATTTGTGAGCTGGCGGTCACCAACAGGGATGGATTGTAAACTTGTGGGCCCAGAGACACTGTGCTTTTGTACACATAGGTAAGACACTTTATTGCAAAGTTTTTTGATAATTAGAAAATAAAAAGCTAAGCATATCTTACTTCTACAAATTGTGATGATTGAGAAACATTTAACAATTGTCCTTTATGTAGTAGAGTAGAAATTATCAACTGGGGATGGCGGCTCACATCTGTTATCCCAGAACTTTGGGAGGCCGAGGCAGAAGGACTGCTTGAGCCCAGGAGTTCTAGTCTGCAGTGAGCTGTGATTGTGCAACTGCATTCCAGCCTGGGTGACAGAGAGTGAAACTTTGTCTCTTAAAAAACAAAAATTGGCCGGGCGCAGTGGCTCATACCTATAATTCCAGCACTTTGGGAGGCCGAGGTGAGCGGATCACGAGGTCAGCAGTTTAAGACCAGTCTGGCCAACATAGTGAAACCCTGTGTCTACTGAAAATACAAAAAATTAGCCGAGTGTGGTGGCACGCGCCTGTAATCCTAGCTACTTGGGAGGCTGAGGCAGGAGAATCGCTTGAACCTGGGAGGTGAGGTTGCAGTGAGCCAAAATCACGCCACTGTACACCAGCCTGGGTGACAAGTATGAGGCTCTGTCTCAAAACAAAACAAAATAAAACAAAAAAATTAAACAAACCCCACAAAAATTATCTAAAGGTTTTTAAAGCTATAATTAAAATTTTTCCATCATATCCTATTAGCGCTCATCATGGAGTCTTACCACCTTAAGCAGTTCTCTTGCCATTGGTAAAAATGTTTGGCCCTGTGGCTTTGCCAGGGGTCTTTCAGTTTGACTGGGGAGCAGAGTCTACCTACAACTCACATCACTGGAGAAGGTAGAGAATGGGTCATCAGACTGAGGAACTACTTTAAGCATTGCTTGAATTGGCCCACACTGATCATGCTGTCCATCTATAAGTATAAACATTTCTCCTCAAATTTACTAATGGCCTTTTATACCTTAAGGATCTGCTATGTTGATACCTTTCTTTAAACAAACAAGCACACTGCTTTGCATTACAAATGG